GGGTTAAACTGTTCTGGAACAGTGTTGTAAATACAACTTAACCACTGATTTGTAGTCGTGTCCTCTTTTGGAAGACCTAACAAAGTAGTTTCGCTTTCACATTGAAACGCACAGCGTCACACATGGCCGGCTAGAGTGAGCGGCGGCTTGCGGTAACCACATGTGACGAACCCGGGCTGGACTCCACTTCGTCCACGGTGATTTCATGTAAGGTGGTATTAAAAAGGTCTTAAGTCTTAAATTTTAATTTAATTGTTCACTTCTGTAGAAACCCTGCTCCCTGGAAAGAACAAGTGGTTTTTAGTACACTACACAACTTGTAAAATGTGAACAGCTTTTAGAAACTAGGCATCATACACTTGCCGACTTTGTTAATGGTTAGAGGGAAAAGATTAACGACAGGACTTTCATGTCGTTCCGATCACAACTGTCTCTTGCAGAAACATGCACTTCATTGTTAGATGCATGGCAAATGAAAACGTGTTCTGAAATCAGCTTAAAATATCAAATATTTTTGATCTCCTCTGACTGGGTTGATTAATTATTAAAATAATTTTTTAGGCTTCAGGCTATGATTGTGAGGTTATAGTATGATAGTAATGCAACCTGAAGGAAGAACAAGTTTAACTTGGGGCCTAATTATTATTATTATTATTATTATTTTTTTTTTTTTAAATAAATAACACTTTAAATTTAGACTTTGTTTGAAATAACTGAAGAAATTAAGTTGGCATTACATGAAAATTCCCAATTTTCCAAATTTTCTAAACGAGTGTGATTGATTTTATTAATTCATCCTTGCTTTTTATTTTATTTAATAAAGTACTGTAACATGATCTTCCAGTGAAGTGACAGATTTCTCTCTGATGATGTCATAATTGCAAGTTTGCATTCAGATCTGCCTTGTCCAATCAAAAACTGATGGATAGAACCAAGTCCATGCCCTGCGTTGTTTAGTTTTTTTTTGGTTGTTTTTAAATGTATGTCTCATTACAGAAGAGAAGATCGGTCGCTACTTATTACATTGGATTTTTTGTTTTTCAGCCTGTTGTGTCCAGAATTTCGTTTCAACCAAGAATTTCCATTTTACTGCTTTTTGCTGTCATTCTTACTTAGAATTTAGGATTCTGTCCGGAACCTTTACCATTAAACTTCGCTTATGCTATGGACAGGAATAATTTCTCAAATCACATGCCGATTTTGACTAAAGGAGGATAAAACAGGCAAAAAAAAAAAAATCCCATTGAAGGATGGAACTGATCCTTCTGTCATAGAATGTAGTTTTACATGGGCAAGCACCAAAAAAAATCTAGTTATTTCTTCTTGTGCGTTGTGTTCTTGTGTAAGAAATCATCTTTTTTTTTTTTCTCTTCGTCAGGTTCTCCTGCGGAACTGTCACCAAGCATACTCTCGCCTGTCAATCATGGCATGGGTAAGACCTCGCTAACTGCTTCAACTCATTCTTAATACATCTTCAAAGTCCTTACAATCTTAAGAAATGAGGAGGTTTACTACCATAGTCATACATTGGCTATGCACAGTACATTTGAGCTTGTCAAGTTGTTCTTACATTTGGTCTTTTTCATCTTTCTTTCAGACCTTCAGCCAGTGACTTACTCAGAGCCCGCGTTTTGGTGCTCCATAGCTTACTATGAACTAAACCAGCGGGTCGGAGAAACATTCCACGCCTCTCAGCCTTCCCTCACCGTGGATGGCTTCACAGACCCCTCCAACTCGGAGCGCTTCTGCCTGGGCCTGCTGTCCAACGTCAACCGCAACGCCACCGTGGAGATGACCCGAAGACACATAGGTACCAAGACATCTTCAGCTGCGCTACTATCAAGTGTTAAAGTGGAATTTCAGGGAACAGTTTACCCAAAAATTACAATTGGCATATTTTATTTGATCATGTCATTCCAAACCTGTGTATGACTTGCTTTCTTCAACAGAAGATATTTGGAAGAATGTCTTTGTCTGTACAATGAAAGTCAATGGGGTCCAAAACAACATTTTTGTGTTGATGTTTTTTGATTAGGACGAGGGGTCAGGCTGTATTATATTGGTGGGGAAGTGTTTGCCGAATGTCTTAGCGATAGCGCCATCTTTGTTCAAAGCCCTAACTGTAATCAGAGGTATGGCTGGCACCCTGCGACAGTCTGTAAAATCCCTCCAGGTAAGAGATCCACTCACTTTTTATTGTCCTCTGCACCATCCAGTTTTTTACGTCAACCGTTATGACGTAACGATACTCTCTTTCTTAGGCTGTAACCTGAAGATCTTCAATAACCAGGAGTTTGCGGCACTGCTGGCTCAGTCGGTGAACCAGGGCTTTGAGGCTGTATATCAGCTGACCAGGATGTGCACCATTCGCATGAGTTTCGTCAAAGGCTGGGGAGCCGAGTACAGGTATGGACAGGTTTTCAGGAGAGTTTTGAGTAAAAATAAATGGTAAAAACCTGATATAATTTAGCTATACATTTTTAATGCATACGGTTCCTTTTTACATAATAGTAAAAATGTGGTTTAAATTACACTTGTAGTGAAATGTGGGATTCATTATTTCTCAATCAGTTCATTAAATGAATTACTTCCAAATATTTTATATTTAATTCAAATGTAGTTGATATACGATACATCCTGTGACTGTTGATTGTTGTGTAGACGGCAGACGGTGACGAGCACCCCCTGCTGGATCGAGCTTCACCTGAACGGCCCCCTGCAGTGGCTGGACAAGGTCCTGACCCAGATGGGCTCACCCTCCGTACGCTGTTCCAGTATGTCCTAATCGCCGTGACCAAGCTCTCTGTCCTCTGCCTCCAAAACGACTGATTCTACAATCACATCAACCGACAACTCGAAGAACAACAGACTTACTCGAGCCCCGCCCCCTCTTTCTCTTTCATAGTAATCGTGAGCCTTTCTCTATCCTCTCTCCTCCCGACACTGATGTTCTCTCCGTTTGGATCTGAACGCAGCACTTGCTGTCTCATCAGCTTCATGCACCTTTAATTCTCTCTTGTTTTCTTTCATAAACCCTCAATATTACATGTATTAGTAGTAGAATTTGAAATGTATATTGTTTTTTATTTTGTTTTTATGGTTTTCGAGAAGGAGGGAAGGTGCGTATGTTGTGTGGAAGTTCAAGAAGGCAGTAAATAACTTCACACACTTGTAGCAGCAAGGCTTTTCCCCCCTGAAGAAGTACATACTCTGATACTCTTTTAACGATTAATTTTCCTGGATGCCGATCCCAATCCGGTCGTTCAAGGAGGTTACTTTTTCTGGCAAAATGTCACGTTCTTTGTTTTTATACACGTTATTATTGTGTAGATTGACACGTTAAGGCTTAATCATGGTTTTTGATTTTCTTCAGTAATGCCAAAAGATACTTTTATTTTATTTTATTTTATAATTTTTTTATGATTTCTTTCCCCAAACCACTATATAAGAATGTTGCCTTTGATTTGAGGTATGCTGCTGTAAGTCATGCTTCTTTTCTTCAAACTTATAGAATGTTTAACGAAAAAGAAAAAAAAAAAGACCCCACGTTCAATTCGAACTTTACGCCGCCCCTCAGAATTAACTTTTTATTCACTGTGGAGTGGTTTTGGAGTCTGGTTTCTTCAGAAAGTGGCTTCTTTCAGGGACTTTCGAAGGTTATTAAAGCGTCTCGCGCAGTCCAGATCTTTAAAATAAAAACGACAAAAGAATAAAAAATAAATCCAAGTATTTAAGCTTTAAGTGTTTATAAACTAGGTTATCCTTCACAATTACAAGATTTTGTTTCCCTTTATCTTTCTTTTAGCTACTTTTTGTATTTTCATGTATTTTTATATATAAATATATTTAAGATCTTTAAAGCTCTCTTCCTTTTTATTAGAATTGAATATTTTTTTAGATCATGCCTTCTTTTTAAAGGAACATGGCTTCATATTGAAATGTCCTATCATACGAAAACGTTATTTAGCATGAAATTTTTATAAGCGCAAATATCTTTTTTTCTCCGCTTTCTAATTCAAGCCGTTGTCCCGGTTAACGTTTCGCCCTGATCTCAAACCCCCTTAAGTACATCTGACTTTAATTTTCTTTTAGTTGCTTTCCTCCCATGTTCACAACACGATGCTGTATAACCCACCGCCCCTCAAAGTATGGTTACCCGAAACCATGGCGATGTTCTATTTGTTTGCAATTGGGTAATAAAAAAAAGACTAAACAGGTTGCTTTTACAGGGTGCTGTGCAACTTTAGTGTGCGTGCTCGTTGTACAACTTTTACTAATGACTGTGATATAGCTGTCTGTTATTCTTTACTTGTGGCAGTGACCAGGCGTTGCAAATATCCATTCCCCTCTTCCCACCTCTGTCTCCATATTTTCCTTCATTGATCTTAACTACTCTTGCGATTTGTACTTTAAGTGCATCTAGTAAAAAGCTGACGAAGACGCTGTGGCCCGTTTTTAAAGCCGATGAGCGGCCATTAAGACACTGGGAACATTCTGTTTGCCATTTTTGACTGGGTGTGGAAAGAAAACCAAATAGAACTGAAAGTGGACCAGACATATATGCATATAAATGTGTATATATAATTTTATTTTACTTTGTTTTTTTCTGTTATTTTTTTTCTCCCTATTTTGCAAAGCATTTAACAGTTGGTGAGCTTGTTTTACCATTAGAGAGATGTATTGGTAGGACGTGAACTTCAGGCGATAAGCTTTTCAGGTGTGTTGCATATGCAGACTTCATAAATACACTAATAAAAAGTTTTAATTCTCATGTTAACACCTGTCTGGTGTATTTTCTTTTGTTATTCTTGTTGCACTACTGCCATCAGAATTGTTAGTTGCCACTTGTATGTTATCTCAAGCTCTTTGCCAACTGGGTAAATAAGTACACTAACATTTGAGAACTTTATTAGAGATGGTCTGCTGAAAGCCAAGTCCTAATCCCAGCTGAACACCTCTGGTGTGACTTGAAATGCAGAGCTTGAGCGAAAAATCACCAAACACCAATTGCTTGATGTAGACAAAGGTATTGGAGCACCCCCTTCTTTAGAACAGAAAAAGACACTTCCAAAACTGTGGCAACAAAGATGGAAACAATTCATGTATTTAAATTGTATTTCCATCTCTGTTGTAACAGTTTTGGAAGTGTCTACAATGACTGTACCTACATGTACAAGTCATAGGGGTTTGGTGATGAGTTTTTAGCTCAAGGTCTGCATTTAAAGTCACACCAGAGGTGTTCAGCTGGGAGTAGGACTTCCAAGCAGGTGTGATTTGGAGCTAAACTGCAGAGCTGTGACCCTCCAGGAATTGAGTTTGAGACCAATGATCTAAATGATGTTTTAAAATAACACCTAACGTCTGGACTAATGTAGAATCTAAATTAAATCAAGATACTTGTTCTGTGATTGAAAAACAATTGAAAAACTGCAATAGAATACCATTGATATGAAAGTGGGCTCTTTAGACCACTGGAACCCACAAGGTCTAATCTTCTGTAACTGGCTTAGACAGAACTAGGTGGATAAACCAAGTGCAGCAGTTTTATTAAAAGAAATAACTATACTGCTGTGCTTCCTTTTTTTGACCACCATGGGGAGCAAGAGCTTCAGTAACATACGATCATTTCTGAGATCAGTTCAGCTGCCCATCAAATGCCTGTCTGATAGCATAGTTCATTTAAGTCTGAAGAAAAGTTAAGTTTAAGATTTAATTGTGTCACTTCATGAGGCTCAATTAATGTAAATATTGTTATAATCGTCAAGCTAAAATCTTGCCCGTTTCATTTTCATTATAACAAAGCCCTTGAGTCCATTAACATTTGGTGACTGTGCACCAGAGACGTCTTATAAAAACGAATGTATGTGCCATTCACTCGTTTGTTTATTAGTAGATGTCACTATTATCAGAAGAAGAAGTGTTTAGGCCACATCACTGAATCAAGGTCTCACCGTTGGTTAGGTCCGTAGGGGTCCTGATGTTAGGCAAGACCACACAGATCGGTTGCTAAAAGCTTTGAGGCATGTATTGCAGCATTCGTTAATCATTCCTCTCCCGTTAAAACCCCTCTCTGTGGTCGGGATAGGCACTAAGTGGTTTCTCCAAGTTACACTAATAGTTTATAATTTATGTGGCATTTAGTCTCGAAGTTGCATCTGGTTTGGCAGCATTTCACAGTGTAAACCCCAGTGGCTCGTTAATGTGCACCAGAAAACATTTCCCAAAAACATATATTTACTTACAAACTGACTTACTGGAAATGTATTCTAAATAGGCCTATTGGGTTTGCATCTTGAATGGGCGTACAATCAGAGGACGCTCTTCGGGGTCAAACTGTTATGTCCGACCATCATAATGTAAGTGTGATACTGTTTTCCATTCTGAGCTTGCCGTCTTGGGTCTCTTCATTCACATGATTGGTTAACTGTGAGATTTTTTTTTTTTTTTACATATAATACCTTACTGACCTTCACAATGCCTCCACCATCTTGTGTTATTCTTCTCGGATCATTCAAGAGTAGCTCCATTGTTGAATTTTGGCCATAGGGAAAGAGCAATCATGTATAAGTTATGGCCAACTAATTAAAACATCATCCTAACCTATACTTGACCCTGACTCTTTTACAATGGCCTTTAAGGATTCTTTTGTGCACTGCCCTCTGACTTGTCCAGTGTGAAGTGTTGGATGTCTTCTGAAGTCTTTTTCCTGGTACTTTGGCAAAGGTCTGCAGCGGTAACTGGAGCACAAGGGCCCTGCAAAGAATTAATCAGGCTCAAATGAGTTTTTCCAACCATGGTAAGCACTGACAATGACCAGGATATACAGGACATCAGAGTGGGTCATGTAGTCTCCCAGCCCGTGACCCCCAAGAGACCTTAGAAGGCAGGAGTAGTTAATAGGATAGTTTGCCCAGAAATGAGAATTCTGTCATGACCAACTTTACTTAAAAGTGGATAAGGTGCCATTTCATGGCAACATCTTGTGAAAGTCCTGAGATAAAATTTCAGTGATTGTCCAGCTGGCAATTCTTCATTTCATTCTTTTCGAGAGGTCATATTTAGTGGCGGATGGTTGTTGAAACGTGGAAATAAATTTAAAACGACATAACTTTTAGCATCATTTTAACTTGCTGGAAATCACCTGCCCTGTACCTCTTGTGCACTGAAAACTGTTATGTACATTGTTACCAGCAGCTGGCAGCAGTTATAAAGAAAATCACTTGGTGGGCCAACAGCCAAAAATGAGCTGTGAATTTGTGTTGCTCTTTATTGGCAGGGTAATTAAAGCAATTATACAGATTATTGCTGTTTTAACCGATTAATACCGTTTCAGTAATGAACACTTTTATTTGCCAGTGAGATGGCTTTAACTAACAGCTCTGTTTTGGTAATCACAGAAGTCATTTGAAGTGCCAGCTGCTTATTACCCAAGTACTTGCTGTTTGGGTGGCTTTGAGTGGAGACAAATAAACCCATGTTAATGTTACAAAGAGATTGCAAATTACATGACCTTGTTTTGACCTGAACGAGGTGACACTCCAGATAGCAGGGAGGTTATTTAACTGACAGTGACGGTTTGACCTTAGGGGTCAAGCTGCATATGAGCAACTGGAGTCTTGGACGAGGATGATTTTGACATGAAAACATTTTTCAAAGGTGATATAGATGATTGCAGTTACACTCTGTTCACTTTGCAAGCACTAATAAGAAGATAGAGTAGTTCTGAAAAGGGCCTAATATATAGCCTTGCTGAACCCCTCAGTTATTTCTGTGCATGAAAGGCTGCGTTAAAAAGTATGCGTCATAGTTTCCTAACCTACTATGTAAACATCGCAGCAGAACAAAGGAGACAAGAGCCATGAGGAGTATCAGTGATACTTCGCTTCGATGCACGGCACTGCATGTAAGAGATACTGAGAGGTCGTGAAGATCTGAACAAACGTCCTCTCATTTGCAGTCTGTTTTCAGAGGTAACACCCAAGCGATTTACCGTAACCCACTCCCACCCAAAGAGAAGCAGGGGAGAGTTATAAAAAAACTGTTACGCTTAATAATTGATGTGCTGCATTTCAATCAATTTTACCACGGCGCTAGGCTAATTAAGGGTTGTCTCTGATTCCCGGGGTAATTTAAAGAAAGAATGCAGAAAAGAGTTTATTCTCATTCTTTCTTCTCTCTCTCATCCTCTTTCTCACTCACTTTTCCTTCCTAGCTCCTCAGTTCATGGGAATTCGCTATTTCAGGAAGCTGAGATCCATTCCTCTCCGTGCGTCTCCTGGGGTGGAAGCCTAGATGCAATTAATACAGCCGCTTTACTGCCTGCTAATTATTAAACGATAAAAAGAGATTATTTTACACCAGACTAATTTAAAGTTCATAGATGATTGTTTTAATTAATTAAATAAGAAAAAGTACACTTTAAGCATGACTAACGGCATTTGCATATGAAGGTAATAATTAGCCACAGCGACGGTTCTCACCTAGCTGGGCTATATGGAGGAGAGGCGTATTAATGAGAGCTGCTTAAAAGTGCTTTTCTTTGGGTATTTAACAGTAAAATTAATAACTAAGGAGCTCAGTTAAGGGAAGCTGGAGTTGCTAATCCTTAAATATACAGAGGCACCTCCTCCCTCCAAAATCCATGCGTGACTCAGGCAAAAAGTCAGCTTGACTGAATCTTTAGGCTTATTTTTGCTCCGGCATTGACTTCAAATTGATTTCCTTTGAATATTTCAAGGTCAGTTTTGTCAAAGTGCCATTTAGTCAATGAGCAACATGGACGTTGAGAAGTTTTCTGCAGTAATCACAGTTAGTCATCTGAAAATGTACATGTATGAAGAACAATGAAATTTAAGGGTCAATGATGTCTCATTTTTTTGTCCTTTTTATTTATACAAAACATCAATTGCATCAAATATGCAATTCATATGACTTTAATGCCCACTTCTGTGAAAAATCATAATGGAGCATGGATATATAAGCATGGAGCGAACCCCTGCAGACCCTCATTAAAGTGTCAACAAGGTCTGGAAATATTTTAATATATCAAATAATTTGACCTTGTTATGACAAGCCTAGTTCAGGTTGTAGTATGTCTTTTGGTTCAATTCTTCAAAAAACATTCATGCATTAAGTATTTATTAAAAAAATAAATAAATCCTACAAAACCCCCCAAAAAATCAACATCCATATTT